AAACCCCCCGTCCCTTCCCGGGGAAGCCGCACCTTGGATCTTCCTCCATTTCGGGGGCAAAGAGCTGCTTTTTGTCGTGGAATCGCAGCCACGGAATCACAACCTGGTTCGGGCTGGGAGGGACCTTAAATCCCATCCCACCTTCCACTAACCCAGGTTGCTCCGAGCCCCCTCCAGCCTGACCTTGGGCACTTCCCGGGATGGGGAATCCACCCCTCCCTGGGCACCCTCTCTCTGCTTTGGGGTTTTCCTGCTCGTTGCGGGACTGTTGGGAAGCCCGGTTGAGTTTTCCCTCTCTCCCTGTCCCCCCCTGCAGCTGGAGAAGAAGGAGGTGTCCGAGGACAAGGAGGACATCGAGGCCAACCTGCTGCGCCCCACTGGGGTCGCCCTGCGGGGGGCCCAGTTCTGCCTCAAGATCTTCAAAGCCGAGGATTTACCCCAGAGTAGGTGTCCCCTTCGCTTTCCGGAGTGCCCTGGATCCCTCGGCCTCGCGGCATTCCGGGCAGGAATTCGGGCGCAGGGGAGGGAATTATCCATGGTCCCGGTCCAAAGACCTTCTAGATACCAACCGGTCGTGATGTGCCGGGAGATGGGTCTGCTACTGGTGCAAACTGGTTTTGTCCACCTGGGGAGCTTCTCCCCGATGGAAAAGCTGGTGGGACAACCGGGACCAGAGGGACGCCGCTCCCGGAATTCCTTGAGCTTTAGGATCTCCTCCCTCTCCTCCTCCCAGTGGATGACGCCGTCGTGGACAACGTCCGGCAGATCTTCGGCTTCGAGAGCAACAAGAAGAACCTGGTGGATCCCTTCGTGGAAGTCACCTTTGCCGGCAGGACGGTCAGTCCCTCCTGGATCCCCGGGGCTGGGATGGCAGTGGGACAGTCCCTCCTGGATCCATGGGGCTGGGATGGCAGGGGGAGAGTCCCTCCTGGGTCCTTGGGGCTGGAATGGCAGTGGGACAGTCCCTCCTGGATCCATGGGGCTGGGATGGCAGTGAGACAGTCCCTCCTGGATCCATGGGGCTGGGATGGCAGTGGGACAGTTCCTCCTGGATTCCTGGGGCTGGGATGGCAGTGGGACAGTTCCTCCTGGATTCCCGGGGCTGGGATGGCAGTGGGACACTCATTCCTGGGTCTCTGGGGCTGGAATGGCAGTGGGACACTCATTCCTGGGTCTCTGGGGCTGGAATGGCAGTGGGACACTCATTCCTGGGTTCCTGGGGCTGGGATGGCAACAGGACAGTCCCTCTGAGTCCCTGGGGCTGGGACACCAGTGGGGTTTTCCCTTGGGATCCTCAGGGCTGGGATGGCAGTGAGGTGTTCCCTTGGGATTCCTGGCACTGGGATGGCAGTGGGACAGTCCCTCCTGGATCCATGGGGCTGGGATGGCAGTGGGGTGTTCCCTTGGGATCCTCAGGGCTGAGATGGCAGTGGAACAGCCCCATTCCCAACCCTGTTCCCAGCCCTGTTCCCAGCCCTATCCCTGTGTGTGTGACATGCTGGGATCCCTGTGGTGCCACCAGAGCAGTTTCTCCTCTGGGCTCTTGCTGGTGCTGATACCTCACAAATGGGTCTGGAGAGGCTGAACCCACGAGCTGCCACCTGCCCTTTGAGCCACAGCAGCACTGAGGGGCTGGAAGTCTCCTCTTCCCATGGATCTTCCCATGGGAACACCATCTGGGGGGGGAACACAGGCTTGGGACATCACTCTGGTGGTCCTGAGGTGGGGAGATCCCTGAGCATCCCCCAGCATCCTCTGCCTCCTGCACTGAGGGGGCTGCAGAGCCCCACGGGGTCACCCATGGGGGATTTTGGGGATCCTGAGGCTTCCCAGCTCCTGGGGTGATGGGAGCAGCACTGACTGTTCCCTCCTCCATCCCACCCCTCCAGCTCTACTCCAGGATCCTGGAAAAAAACGCCAACCCCCAGTGGAACCAGTGCCTGACTCTGCCGGCCATGGTGAGCACTGGTGTCCCCATGGGCACCCTGTCCCTGATCCCACCATCCCTCACC